CTGAGATTATGCACCGTTACAATTGCACTTGTGGGTGATAATGTACATATACAGGGTGTCCAAATTTTTTCCGATCAAACTTTGTCAGTATGTTCTATGGGTACAAATAAGAAAAAAATGTTATATAAGCATAGGTCGTTCAAAGTTTTGTTACGAAGTTATAACAAAAATACGAAGGGAATGATAACGGACTGCAGTTACCACGATACAAGACAAAAATGGCACTGGCAGAACACATTCAACGACCTCGGATAGTAGACACAGCTTGTATAAACAGACTAGATGTACATATCGCTGATCTATTGTTATTTTGTATCGTAATAACCGCACACCCGTTACCGTTTCCTTCATACTTCGTATTGTTGCTGTAACTTCTTAACAAAGCTTCAAACGACCTATGTTCATATAACATTTTTTTCTCACTCATACCCACACAACACACTCACGTAGTTTGATTGGAAAAAATTTGGACACCCGGTATATAGCATACATGTATGTATAAACAAGTGCACGGCGTATCAACACGATAATTTATACGGAGGCAACGATTATGCGCGATTTTAGCTTATTTCATTTCCACTTCGATATCGTGCGAGTTCACTGGCACTGATCAGGCCAGTTTCATTGTAGGCCTCGTAAGGAATATAGCAGGCGTTCAACAACCGATTCCTTCGTGCAACATCGAGTCGGGAGGAATACTTCGTGAAAGTGTGAACGTGACCGATTGATATTTTACCGACCGTACGTGACACAGTCGTGTGCACGCGTGTGTGCACTGTTCGAACAACGAAACGAACGGGACAGCGAAGAACATTTCAAAGCGCAGGACACTTTAAAAATAGTCACTGGAAATTCACATAACACTTCGAAACCGGTTGCCTGAAGGAAAACAAGTCGAGAAAATTCACGATACAGTTGAGATACGAAAATGTATTCACAACTTGAATGTGAATAAACGTTTTGCATCTTCTCAAAAGTGATAAATCATCCGCCACGATTCATTGTGTCAACCAGAACGGAAGATGTTGTTTTTATATTGTTATATATATAAATTCTAGTTCAGTGAAAAACTGACGATAACGACAATGATACGACGCTCAACCAATAAGACATTAGACATTAAGACGAATTTGCGTGAATGAACTGTTAGAACGAACGGATCAATCAAGTGAGTAGTTTTTACGTACTGCACACATAACTGTTTCACACGTCGTGATATTTAAAAAAAATAACTATTACCACGGTGGTTAGGTTAATTGTGACCTAATATATTCCTGCTCGATTAAGTAAACGGAGTTGCTTGATCACTGTGAGCTGACACCAATACATTAATATTGCAGGATATCGGTTCATTAAATTTTATGTGTAACGAGATATGCAAATGATATTACATACATTAATAATAATAGCTTTCAAAATAGGTAGGAATTTCATTTTTTTACGCTAACACCATAATTTCGTAAGCATACGGCGCAATATGACTGTCTTTAAACAAACGTTATTATTTTAAAAAATTAACTTTTTAAAGGTAACTTTAAAAACAAACTTTAGCGGTCAAAAATTTTCAGTTACGCCACAGGTAGGTAAATGTTATAATTTACGGCTTTGCTGACGGACATTGATAATCATTGCAAATCAATAAATAGTTTCCACAAAGTGATTTATTCGAAGAGTAAATCAAATTTCAAAGTCTATAAATTCGTTAAAGATGTTTCTCATATAATTGCTGAATTTATTATCATGCCTATCGTATCATTATAAATAAAGATTCTTATCATATAATTAATTTAATTTCCAATTAAAGATCAATGATATCTTGCAAACGAAAAACTTTGTATCTTTCGTATCATTCCTGTTACAAAGTAAAGGATTCTTAAATTGATAAATATTACTAAAAATTACCAACTACTACGTTAATTCTTGAAGAGCAAAAAAGAAGAGGATATGTATACAGGGTGGGCCACGTAAAACAGGCCACCAAATTATCTTCTCTAGCTACGATGGTACGAGACAATGTTTATACAAACTTTTTTTTATAAATGCCATTCTTTCTATCTTTTTCAAGATCACTTATGTGTTTTTACAAAATATGTGTATATATTGTAACAGACGTTGATGTGCATTTAAACATGCATAATAATACGACCTTGGACTCTAAAATTTTAAATCAAATGTAAAACATTTCTTCCATCCAGAAAATTTTTCTTTTTTTTAATTACGTGTAAATATTTTCTTGCACCACCGTAACTAGAGAAGTTACCGCCATTGTTTTACGTGACCCACACTGTATAACGACAATAGGAAGCAAAGCTACGTATACTTTAAAAAATGATAATAGTTATTCTACGATATCACTACACGTAAGCCCGTGTCATTCGGTAAATCGAAGGTTATCTAAGGAAAAAAGCTATTGGATTATGAAAACTGTTTCGAAACAAGAATAAACTACGAGGTTTGCGGCTACAGAAATCAGCGATATCCATGCGGTAATAACAGCGATAAGGCCAGCTTACAGACTGTCAAGATTAAAGAGCAATTTTATGTCCAGTTTCATACTGCACGCGCTGTGTGAAAGTTTATAACTTTTCTTGGAGGGAAAAGGGGGCTGCAGTATATCAAATGTACCAAATAACGAATATTATTGTAACGCAAATTTCAATGTCGTGAAAATTCAACTTGGACAATATGTATTTAAATATTTGAAAAATTCTACTAATTTATCTATAGGGGAAATTTGGTTTAGGTAGACATTAAGGTAGGTAGGTAGGTACAAATTCCAATATCCTAAATATCTCATTAAATAATACAAATTTGATTCGTGATTCTTGTGATTCGTGATGTTGATGCAAGAAGTGGCTAAAAGTGAAAGGAAGTTTCACATTTGATTACAAATTTTATGCACACTGATGTCTGCTACAGCAAACAGTAGAAAAATATATACGTTCATGTGGAAAAACATAAGTGACCTTAAAAGAAAACAAAATAGAAAAAGATGTTTATAAAAAAAAATCGTCCTTCCATCTTATTCACCCTTCTAAACCATTTAAATTACATATAAAAATTTTCTCGTACTGCCATAACTAGAGAAGATAATTAAGTGGCCTGTTTTACGTGGCCCACCCTGTATAGCAATAAAATAATTTCATTGGATAAAAGGAAGACAACCATTTCAGTTGAACAATATTAATAGCTTTAAAGGGAAACAAGCTATTTTATAATTTTTACTAAACCGTAACATTTTTCTTTTTTTAATTTACAAAAAAGTTCATTTAGCATTCAATCGTTTATCAATTATCAAAGTTACCTTTCTTCAAAATAGTTGTATTTAAATACCTACATTTGCTACACTTGTTATAATCCAAATAATTAGCATATTACATTTATCATGTCACAGAATTCAATCGGGTAAATATGTATTACTTAAATTCACGTTGGTGTTTACTTTCACATTTCAATGAACTGAAGGCTACTGCGGTGAAGTTTGTTGCATCCTGTCTGTGCAGTGTAATATTTCTATGCGGATAAAAAAAACTTACGTCTGGAACATACATTTGAAATTAATCAAATTAAGAAATATTATAATTAATTTGAAAAAAAAAGAAAGGAAAGAAAAATATTATTCTCTAGCAGTTCACCTAATTTCCTAACATATTGTTACACTTTTTTAAGCTACACATGTCACATGATGTCCTTTCTAATTCAATCCTAATTTTCCAGAATAATTACCTAACGAAATCGTACTAGGTCTTCAAGTATACACTTCCGTTCATAAGTATCAGGACACTTACTGACTGTGAAACAAACCTAAATAGCCATTAAAAAATTCTTAAGATCCAAAATAAATGATTCAGCCTGAAATCTCGAAAATGACACATCTCAAAAATCCTTAATTTTGTGTTATCTGAAAAAAATAACTGTAAAAGTGAGCTATTTTTATCGGAAAGTGTGTCACAAAAATAAAAATTATACTATTTAACAAGAACAATATTATAATTCAAAAGAAGACTTTAATCCTTCTTTTAACAGTAAGCAGTACACATGGACAATATTTCATTAGAGACCCTCAAGACCCGAAGGTTATTAGCTAATTTATAATAAAAGAAAATGTTTGCTAAATGGTCGAGTAATAACTTTCTACCACGAAAAATTTCAAATCGATTTCTTCAAAAATTTATTTTTATTAATTCTGTCACTGTTCTAGCAAACTGACGATGTAATACTTTGTGTACGAATATAACCGGTGTTCTAATACTAATGTACGGCAGTGTACATTTCAAACGTAATAATTATATGCATTTTATGTTTATTTTCAGGATACCTATTCCCCAATATGATCGCGTAAAAGTCATAAAGTCAGAGCCAGGTGAAACTCAAGAGGAAAGTAGACGGTAACGGTGCAAGGACAACAGTGAATTTTGTAAAAAGTCCAACGCATTCTCCGGACAAGAAGAATCCATCCAGTCACGTTAGCAGTTCCAGCTAGTTATCCAGTTCTCCGTGAACATTAGAACAGACCAGTTCATACGTCCACTACGATTTTATTACTTCCAACTTTACCGCAAATACGTCCTGTCTCATCAACCGTCGTAAAACAAATGACCACTTGACGATAATTAGTGAAACAGTGATACGTATACAAGGATCAATAGAGATAAGAAGAAAGTTATGCAAAGTAACTGCAAAAACAGCATTTAAACGTACGATTAAAATATAATTCTATTTCACCGACCGATGTGACGGAAATGATTTTCGAACGTTAAAACGAGTTCAAATAAAACGAAATCGATTATTCTGAAATAGCACCGGAGGAGAAATAAAATCGAAGTGACAAACTATCAAGAGGGAAATGTTGTTCGAATGTTAAAATAAGTTAAAATAAGCAAAGTCGATAAATTCTGAAATAGATTCAGAGGAGAGATAAATTCAAAGTGATTCGAATCTAAACTGTCAAGAATTATATCAAGAGGGCTATCTAGTAATCAAGACATCGGGAGGACGAGAAAACAGGTCGAAGAGCGAGTTTTCCAAGGCTGAAAACAAAATAAACATGGCCAGCGTCGATAGAAATCTCGAGGAGCTAATGGCTCATCTGGGTGAATTTGGTAAATATCAGTGTTGGCAATTCTCTCTGCATATTCTTGGCGCTTTAACTGCAGGCTTGCATATGCTAACGTTGCTTACTGTCGCGGCTGTCCCGCCTCATACGTGCAACATTCCCGAATCCACGTTCACGATGGACACGATAAACTTCACATCTTCAAATTTAAACTCCTCCACAAACTTAGACGGCCTTTCCCGTGCAATCGACGCGTGTCACTATCTGGACAGTGATAATGCAATGCAGCAATGCGAGTCGTGGACGTACGACACGCAATACTTTCAATCATCTCGCGGAATGGAGTGGAATTTCGTTTGCTCGCAAAGATGGATGGGCGCAGTAGCTCAGTCCTCCTACATGTTCGGCGTGTTCATCGGAGCGGTAACATTGGGCAGTTTAGCGGATAAATACGGCAGAAAGATAATATTCTACGTGTCTGCTGTTGCTCAGCTTGTTCTTGGAGTAACAGTAGCCTTGGTCAATAAATACTACATCTTCCTGATTCTGAGATTCTTGTACGGTATCTTTGGTTCCGCCGGTGCTTACATAACAGGCTTCGTTCTGACAATGGAACTGGTTGGAGCGTCGAAGAGGACCGTTTGCGGAGTGATGTTTCAGCTAGCGTTCGCCGTTGGATTCATGCTGGTAGCTGTTTGGGGTGCTGTGATAAAAGATCGAATGTGGCTGCAAATCGTATACGGCCTGCATAGCGTGACTTTGGTTGGCCACTGGTGGCTAATGGACGAATCTCCGCGGTGGTTGTGGGCTCAAGGTCGTGTCAGCGAAGCTCTGATAATCGTACGGAAAGGTCTCAAGATGAACGGGAACAACGTGGACATAGACACGGCAAAATTGATCAGCGAAGGAAAGGTGCGACACGTGAATCAAGAGGAACGCTCTTACGGGGCACTGGATCTTTTTAAAACACCGAATCTCAGAAAGAAGACGTTGAACGTATGTCTGAACTGGTTCGCCAATTCCATCGTTTACTACGGCCTGTCTTTGAACGCGGGTAACTTGGTTGGCAATCCGTTTCTCATGCTATTTCTGAGCGGTCTGGTAGAGCTACCTTCCTACATCCTAATGTGCTTCCTCATGGATCGTACCGGAAGGAGATGTATGGTTAGCACTTTCATGCTAATCGGAGGCATGTGCTGTATAATTGCCTCGAGTATCCCAAGTGGTACCGATGCAGCCGCTACAACAATAGTGACGATCGTTCTGTTTGGAAAGGCATGCATAGCAGGCTCGTTTGCGGTTATTTACAACTACACTGCTGAACTGTTCCCCACAGTAGTTAGGAACACGGCATTAGGAATTGGCTCGATGTGTGCGCGTCTCAGTGGTGCCCTGACTCCAATGATAATGCTCTTGGACTCGCTCAATCCTAAAGTGCCCGCGGTGTTGTTCGGTTTCGTTGCTCTAGTGTCTGGTTTCCTGTCGCTGTACCTGCCCGAGACTGTGAACCAACCGATGCCAGAGACCATCGAGGATGGTGAACAGTTTGGGAAGCACGACACGTGCTTCACTACATGTTTAGGTTCAAATAGGAAAGACAGTGCTAGTTACGAAGTTACGATGGATCAATTGGCTGATAAGGACGAGAAAGAAAAGCTGAATCAGGAAGAGAGCACGAGGGAAAATTCTCGTTAACCTTTTCACCGCTGTTGGCGCCTATAGGCGTTTTGAAAATGTGCTCGCACTGTGACCTTAGTGCCTACAGGCGCTTTGGAAATGTGCTCACACTGTGCCTTTGGTGCCTATAGTTGTTTTGAAAATTTGCTCGCGCTGTGTCCTTGACGCGTTTTGGCTCATTTTCACCTAAATTGAATCCTTCATTTTTGGCCTTTGCAACTTGCACCTTGATTTAATAAAAGACATTTAAAAAACGATAAATTTTAAATTCTAATATAAAACTTTTTTTTTAATTTTAAAACACCAAAACAACAAATTTTGCGACCGCGATTAATCGTGGGCCACGCGCATTATGTTTTAAAATCTACCGCAGAGAAAGTGGTAAAGTCGATGGCTGATGTATGAATCGATCACACGAAACTCGGACAATTTATGAGCATCGGTTAACCAAGTGTATTTGTCGACAGAATTGCACAGTCGCAAGAATTTCTACCCACGAGCTCCTATACTTGCTACACCCGTGGTCGTTCTTTGCCGGCAATTATTGTAGAAAGCTTTGAACAGGTTTCGTTTTCTTTTTACGCCTATTTGTGAAACACTCGTGCAACCCTACAATCTAATGCTTGCGACATCTTTTAAAAAGTAAAAGAGAGCTTATTTTTGGAATCTGCACGATCACAAAAACCGTGTTTGTTTATTTGTTTGACTGAATGCTTTTTGAAATTTAGGAGATTATAGCATTTTCTTAATAAACTCGAAATTGTTTGTCGAATTAAACGATATTTTGGTTAAGAACGATGTAGACAAAGATATTTCAAAATACACAGAGTAACTGCATCTAATATGGAATACCTGATTTTAAAAGCTTGCCAAACATAGAGACATGCTTTTTTTTAATGAAATTACCAAATTTATAGATATTCCTATGTTAACAGTTAACTATGCAAATGTTCAAGTGTCTTGAAGTCATGATAAAAAATGTAAAAGAAGTCAAACGCGTCGAGTTGAAAAAGTGGTACCTAATATGGAACAGCTACGACATTTGTAAAGAAATCTTAAAAAATTTTATTTTTACTATGAAAAATGAATATTTATATGAATAAAAAAGACAAATAAACTGTGTAATACATTGTAATATAATAATATAATGTACTTATGATGCTAAAAATATAATATAATACTAAATAAAATTAATGTGGAATATATTTCATATTACGTACATTCAACGTGTTCCATATTAGGTACGTAAGTACGTATTTGGACAGAAAAATAATAATTATACTAAGAAAAGAAATTTAGCGGTAAATTTTTTTTGAAGACTCGAAAACAAACATATTTAATAATACATCATACAAAAGTAATATTTTTTTACCTTATCTTCACTGAAAAATTTCACTATTTAACTCGCCTCTCAGAAACTTTGATACGCTTTCAAACAACAATCAACTTCGCATTACTGAAGCTCAAATGTGAATATGATTGTCTTTTATTTTTATAAAATATCGCGGTGTTCCGCATTAGGTACAGTTACCCTACATTTTAAAGTCAAAGTGTTGCATTTTAAAACAATGCCATGAAATTTTTACACCGGCAGAACAAACTATAGTAGAATTAAGCTAGGTCTCAATTTTTAAATATACAGAATATAAAGATAGCCATTTATGCATTAATTTTCCATTTAAATTCACGAAGATTTTATAAAGAACATAGTAAAAAGTATTATTTTATATATGTGTACTTGTATCAAAGCTGTGCGAACAAGTTCCTAATCAAAACCTTCGAACAGTCTTATTTTTATAATAACATAAAATAAATTTGACAACAAAACGCTATTCTGTAAACGGTTTAATGATTAAGCTGTTACATTCTTCCCAACGTCCTTCATTTTTAAAACAATTCTCGTCGTAAAAGAAGAACACTTCTTTAACATATCTATGAGTGAAATATCCAACGATACAGTATTGATTAAAACATGCAGATAAATATAGGTATTAAAAATCATTTATATATTAAACGCTGCATTTTCATTTTACTCCTGTAAAAAATTGAGTTACGCTTTAAAAGCACTAAGAAAAAAATATGCATTGTATAAGTTAATGTTACACTTTAAAGGAGCTACCTCGTCAACAGAAAAAATTGAACAATGAATTCTCTGTTATTTAAGAAACGTACACTGCCGTTCGTAAATTTTAGGACACCTGTTATATTCGCACAGAAAATACTGCATTATTTAAATTACATTTGTTTGCCAAAGTTAGTATCACACGTATATCAGTAAAAATGTACAGTGTTCACACTATTAATTTTTAGCGTTTTTCTCGTAAATGGTAAATTTGTAAGACAAATAGAAGAAAACAAAGTTTCATTATTTTTTATACGCAGTACGATGGTTTGAATAGATTTTTTTAATTTGCAATAGTTTATAAAACTATTATAAATAGTTTATAAAATTTAATAAATTTACAATAATAGTTTTCGCGTAATAGCGATACCATGAATCTTTCGAAATTCATAGCTATAATTTTTCTGACCTTACATGAAAACGGTTGCTGAGACAAGTTCAACGATCTACAACAAACTCAATTTTATGTGAATGTTTGGTGTGGCATAATCAATAGCACAATATTAGGATCTTATTTTTATGACGGCACCTTAAACGAAAATAGATATTTAGAAGTTTTGAGAAGATACTTTGAAGTATCATGGTTTTCAGGATCTTAACAATTTTGTAATGACTGTTTAAATTTGTCTCACATTCAACAAGTGTCTTAATACTTATGAACAGGAGTGTATGCATCAAGCAGTTGCACATCTAAAATTCTTGGGCAATTATGATAAAATAGTTATAATAATTATAATTAATTCTCCTCCTAAATAATATGTATACATGCTTATATTAAATTCACACCCATTACAAGATCCGTAA